TTTAGAGAGAGAGGAAGGGAAAGGGAGAGAGAGAGAAACATTAATGTGAAAGAGAGAAACATCGATTGACTGCCTTCCGAACACACCCCAACCGGGGATCGAGCCCAAAACCTGGGCATGTGCTCCAACCAAGAATCGAACCAGCAACCTTTCATTGTGTTGGAAAATGCTCAACCAACTGAGCCGCACCAGCAAGGACATAAGGTGCCATGTTTTAAGTGGCCTTATGAGAGGCCCACATTACAAGAAACTGACTGATGTCTTTGGCCAAAAGCTAGTGAAAACCTGAGACCTGCCAACAGCCATGTGATGAATTGGAAATGGATACTCAGAGGCCTGCCAATAGCCATATGAGTGAGTTTGAAAGTAGATCCTCCTCGAAAGGAACCCTGAGGTAGTCACAACTAACACTCTGATTGAAGTTTTGAGAGAGACCCCAAGCCAGAGGACCCACTAACAAACTCAGATTTCTAACACAAGAAACTGTGAAATATTAATGTTTATTGTTTTAAGCTGTTACATTTTAGGGTAATTTGTTATATGACAACAGATATCTAATGCAACTTTCAAGCAACAAAGGAAATAGTCAAACATTTTCTTTTTTAATGTTTTTATTGATTTTAGAGAGAGAGTAAGGGAGAGGCAGAGAGAGAAAAGAAAAAAAAAACATCGATATGAGAGAGAAACATCTCTCTCATCTACTGGGGATCAAACCTGCAACCTGGGTATGTGCCCTGACCAGGAATCAAACCAGCGACCTTTTGGTGCAAGGGACCACGCTCAACCAACTGAGCCACACTGTCCCAGGCAACATTTTCATGATATAAATCACTTCCATTGGGTGGGGCATAGAATAACTAACAGAACTTTAGCATGACCTCCTCTTATTCAATCTGGACATCTCTAATGTTCATAATACTTGAAAGTCTTCTTTAGGGATGAGACTATTCCCATTTTGAAAATGACCCAACACCCCAAACTAAATGGAAAAGAAAGAAGTCAGTGGCAATTGGAAACTCCAAGTCCTCTATGTTATAAAGTCACAAATTATCTGGTAAAAAAAAAGAAGAAGAAGAAGAAGAAGAAGAGACCAGAAAGGGAAGGAGATGCTATGCTACAAGCTGCTCTTTCTGGTCTTGCATGAGTAATTCTTGCAGCTGGAGTTTCACTACAACCACAGAATTGTGGCACCACGAAGGTGGCCATTTTCAAATCTGGCCTGACATCAGAATGTAATTCAACTAGATGAACCTGGGACTTGGCCAAAATAAGTAGCATTTAAATAACTGGGGCCAATGAATAGCAACACTTTTCTGTAGGACCATATGACTATGATGTGAAGAAATAAAAACCTTTGTTGTTTTAAAGGGCAGGGACAATTGGAAGTTTTGCAGCAGACAGTTACAAAATTTTCCATCCTGAGCTCACCAAAGAAGATACCAGTTAGTACCTTCAGGAGTTGGGTGTGGAAGGTGTTGCTTGGAAAAGAAAATTAAATTGATCCTGGAGAGAATGTGAACCAGTGTTAGCATATTTGTCGTAGAGCCTAAAACAGACTATCTAGCTCCTTACGTTGTGAAATTACTTTCCTGATCTAACTCCTTGAAACAGCATTCTGTATCAGGCAAGGCATGGAAAGCTACCCCACCCTCTCACAAACAGCATATTCTGAATTTACAGAATAATTTTGAAGTGGGTTTTAAAAAATCATCTTAAAAAATAAAACACTCTCCAATAAATTGAATTTGCTTCTCTGTTTTTCATACTTGCCTGCCTGGAACAGAGCGAGAGGACTCCTATCTATGATATTTTCCACCCGGGATGGGTTTTCTGCATCTTATGTGTAGATTGTTTTTAAAATATTTCATTCGTCTTTTGTATTTTGTTAAAGGCTCCCTTTTTTTCTTTCTAAATAATTAGCCCCATTACCTAACATCAGGGTACTGCCTGGGTCTACATGAGTAGAAGCTCATCAACTAAACTGATTTTAGTTGTATTTTGAGATACAGTATTTTATCCCGTCTGTTTTCATTTTATTGGATGACAGTAGTTGCAATTTCTCCCCCAAGCAGAGATGACTTAGATCAGGGACCTGATAAATAAGCATGAACATTTGATTTAGAAAAGAAGGATATCCTGAAGCTCGGGGAGAGGGGGAAAAAAAAGGATTTTCAACACCCCCCCCCCCATACACACTTTAAATAACAAAGCAAAGCAGTAGCATTGTCTTTAAACAACATCTTTCAACACAACATCAATGCTCCCCAATGTTAGGTAATACGCATAATAATTTAGAAAGAAAAAGAAGAGCCCTTAAAAAAATACAAGGAAGGAATGAAATATTTTAAAAGCAAATGTCATTAATCCTCCATATTACCTTGAGGCAGAAACCCCCAAAGAAATAAAAAATACAGTCGCGGATGTGAGGGGAAAACGGATGCTTTGGAAGAAAATTATGAGGATTCCTGTTGAGGGACCGATGGAGAATGTGAGCGTCTGACGCCCTACTTTGGCCCAAATTATTCAGCCCTCCAGACCCATTAACAGGAGTGTGAAACGACAAAGAACTGTGAAGTGGAAGGAAAGATGCCCAGTAAATTTCAGTAATAGAAAATAAAAGAAAACAGAGGAAGCCAAAGTCTCCCATGGAAGGGAAGGAACCCAATAAATTGTCTTAGATTTCAGGATCACTTTTTTTTCCCCCTGCTGGAGAAGAGGCTCACCGGGGGCAGCAGAGGTAACAACTTCTGCAAACACGAAACCTGATCAGAAATCCTTCAGAGCTCCAGCGCTTGGAACTAAGACTGGCAGAAGGAAGGGTTCAGCCAGGCGTAACGTTTTTTAAAGCATAAGATTGCTCTGTGACTGTGCGTGTGCGTGTGCGTATGCGACACAGACAGAGGCAGATTTTTCCTTTCTCAATAAGTCACTTTCCTGCAAGGGAATTCCTGATATTCCTTGCTGTCCCGCGAGAGAGGAGAGGCGCCCGGACCCCTGCCCGCGGTAACTTCTGATCTCGCAGGGAGCAACCGGAGAGCGCGTGCGAGCTCCCAGTGCCTTGAGCTGGGGGAAGATTTGACGGAACAAAAGAACGGTCGGCAATCGGAAAACGCCGCTCGAGAACAAGGATAACCTCTTTGCGTTTTTTAAAACTTTTTAATTACCAAATGCCCTGGTTTCTAATACGCATGAAAACTTTTTTACCCAGAATCCAAATAGAGGGTCAAATTATTGCTTTTACAACTAAGATGGGATCCGGAAAGACCACACTCCTATAGTACAAGGGAAAACGGGGCAATTCAAAACTCTCTTTATACCATACAGTGTTCCTAGGCACTCTTTCTCAGATTACTTTTATAGTCATTCATCCCCCCAGCACTTAGTTTTCTTATAACTTCACTCAAGCTACACCAGATCCCTTTGCTCTGGGCCGTACGCGAGGGCGAGGTGGCCTGAGGCAGGGTACCCCGCGTCCGCAGCGCCCGCCGCGCCCCCAGGAAGGGTCTGCCCTTCCTCCCTCGCCGAAGTCTCCCCCCTCTGCTCCACTCCGATTTCGCCTCCGACGCAGCCCCTCCTCCTTTTTTTACATCCAGGAGTAGGAGTGAGGGGATTGTAGCCTCACGTGGTCTGTTTGGGTCTGGGGAGGGAAAAGCCATCTGCGAGGTGCACCGCCTTTCGTCCCATACCGAATCCTACATTTAGGACCCAGCTACCTAAAAATCCCGGCGAAACCCAGCATTTTCAGACCTAGAAAGGCTAACATGACTGTGCTCAGGCGCTGAGTTTTTCTCAGCTTCTCCCCGCAAAAGTCTATCCCCATAAGCCATTCAGGAATGTGTATTTTACTGTACCCGGTAAGGGAACAAATCTTTCCAGCAAAATCCCTTTCTGGTGCGTGTACCCCTCACCCCCGAGCGAATTCGGGGGTAAAAGTTTTTCTTAACTTTTCTTTTCCAGCCCCCTGCCCCTCCCCTCAGGAATCCGCCCAGAGCATTGCAGACACCGCCTCTCAGGTTCCCTCGCCTGCCCCTTCCGACTTCCACCCAATCCGGAGGCGGCCACACAGAAAACAAAGGCTGCCATTGGGCAGCCCTGGAACTCCAGAGCCCTCCCCTAAAGTGGTTTGTGAATGGGGGGAGGGGAGGGGGCGGGGCAGCCCGGAACCCTAGGAGCCGGGCGCTTCTTCTGGCGAGTTGCGCGGCTCAGAGGCGTTACTCTGCGCTCCCTGCGGGCGGGCGGCGGCGGCGGACGCCGGGACTCACCGGCCAGGGCAGCGCGGGGTTGGAGAGGCCAGGCCCAGGCCGCGGGCACCGGGACCTCGCAGCTTCGGACGCAGTGTAACTGGATTTTGAAGAAGAACGCACTGAGCTGTTGGTTCCAAGGGCTCTTGGTTCCAAGGCACCGATTGGACTCAGAGCAAGAATCAGCCGTTCGGCTGAAACTTGGGGCCGAGCTTTTGGGGTTGAAGAAGGAGCCGGGAGTGGAAAAGGAGGCGAAGGAGGAGACGGCGGCGAGCGGAGCCTCGAGGCGAGGAGGCGGAGCAGCACCGCCGAGGCGGGAGCCTCGGCTAGCAGGCAGCGGCTCGGGGCTCTCGCCTGCCTGGGGCTGGACTTGGTGTGGCGGACGCGCGCGTTGCTGTGTGCTGTGAGTCGAGAGACTTGGGCAAACTTTCAAAGGTAGTAACTGGAGACGCTTGTTGCTCCTCGCCGCAGAAAAAGCCGCACCGTTACGTCGCGGCAGGAGGAGAAGGCGGCGCCCCCGGCCCAAGCCGACGAGTTTGGGCCCCAGGCGGCCGCGCGACTGCTGGGCGGAGGCGGCTGCGGCGCCCCCGCGGCGCGGGCACCCCAGCTGCAGCGCCCCCGGCTCCGCGCCGCCCACGGCCCGGCCCCGGCGCCGGCAGGACTCTCATGCGCCCGGCGCGGTGGCGCCTCCCCGGATCCAAGCCCCTCTCGGCTGCCTCGTAGCGATCCTCCAGTTGAGAGCGCCGCAGCACCCACGGCCGGCGATGCGGGAACCGGGCGCGGTCACGCCGCGCTCTCCCATGGGCCTATGCACCCTGGTGCTTGCGTTCCTGGGCGCGCTGCCCACAGGCGCTGGGGCGCAGCCGTACCACGGCGAGAAGGGCATCTCGGTGCCGGACCACGGCTTCTGCCAGCTCATCTCCATTCCGCTGTGCACGGACATAGCCTACAACCAGACCATCCTGCCCAACCTGCTGGGCCACACCAACCAAGAGGATGCGGGCCTCGAGGTGCACCAGTTCTACCCTCTCGTGAAGGTCCAGTGTTCTCCTGAGCTGCGCTTCTTCCTGTGCTCCATGTACGCACCCGTGTGCACCGTGCTGGATAAGGCCATCCCGCCATGCCGCTCTCTGTGCGAGCGTGCCCGCCAGGGCTGCGAAGCGCTCATGAACAAATTTGGCTTCCAGTGGCCGGAGCGGCTGCGTTGCGAGAACTTCCCGGTGCACGGAGCCGGCGAGATCTGCGTGGGCCAGAACACGTCCGACGGCTCCGGGGGTCCTGGCGGCGGCCCCACCGCCTACCCCACCGCTCCCTACCTGCCCGACTTGCCCTTCACCGCGCTGCCCCCTGGGGCCGCTGACGGCAGGGGCCGTTCTGCCTTTCCCTTTTCGTGCCCCCGTCAGCTCAAGGTTCCCCCATACCTGGGCTACCGCTTCCTGGGCGAGCGCGACTGCGGCGCCCCGTGCGAGCCTGGCCGCGCCAACGGCCTCATGTACTTTAAGGAGGAAGAGAGGCGCTTCGCCCGCCTCTGGGTGGGCGTGTGGTCGGTGCTTTGCTGTGCCTCCACGCTCTTCACTGTCCTCACCTACCTAGTGGACATGCGGCGTTTCAGCTACCCGGAGCGGCCCATCATCTTCCTGTCCGGCTGCTACTTCATGGTGGCCGTGGCGCACGTGGCCGGCTTCCTGCTGGAGGACCGCGCGGTGTGCGTGGAGCGCTTCTCAGACGACGGCTACCGCACGGTGGCGCAGGGCACCAAGAAGGAGGGGTGCACCATCCTCTTCATGGTCCTCTACTTCTTCGGCATGGCCAGTTCCATCTGGTGGGTCATCCTGTCGCTCACTTGGTTCCTGGCAGCCGGCATGAAGTGGGGCCACGAGGCCATCGAGGCCAATTCGCAGTACTTCCACCTGGCCGCGTGGGCGGTGCCCGCGGTCAAGACCATCACCATCCTGGCCATGGGCCAGGTGGACGGGGACCTGCTCAGCGGAGTGTGCTACGTGGGCCTGTCCAGCGTGGACGCGCTGCGGGGCTTCGTGCTGGCGCCCCTGTTCGTCTACCTCTTCATCGGCACTTCCTTCCTGCTGGCTGGCTTCGTGTCGCTCTTCCGCATCCGCACCATCATGAAGCACGATGGCACCAAGACCGAGAAACTGGAGAAGCTGATGGTACGAATCGGCGTCTTCAGCGTACTCTATACAGTGCCGGCTACCATAGTCCTGGCCTGTTACTTCTACGAGCAGGCCTTCCGCGAACACTGGGAGCGCACCTGGCTCCTACAGACGTGCAAGAGCTATGCGGTGCCCTGCCCTCCCGGCCACTTCCCGCCCATGAGCCCCGACTTCACCGTCTTCATGATCAAGTACCTGATGACCATGATTGTGGGCATCACCACTGGCTTCTGGATCTGGTCAGGCAAGACCCTACAGTCATGGCGCCGCTTCTACCACAGACTCAGCCACAGCAGCAAAGGGGAGACTGCGGTATGAGCCCCGGCCCCTCCCCCACTCGCTAAAGAGGGAAAAGCGAGGTAGGGAAAGAACGTCTGGGTGGGAAGCTTGGTTCTGTAACCTCCTCCCCCTCCAGTGAGAAGTAACCTGGAAGTGAGAAGACTTATGTAGATGTGGGACGAGGAGTGGGTTTGGAAAGGAGGCCTGAGTGAGAAGACGGTTTGGATGAAAAGACTTATGGCAAAGATTTGCAGGATAATGATGGTGATTCTAATAACGATGATGTTAATCATGTACGATACGCACGGACCTGGGCCTATCGAGAAAATTGAGACCAGCAGGATTACTGTGAGTTCTTCCCAGCCCCGTCTGAACTGGGACTGTGAGCGATTCCCCTGCTGCAAGACAAGTGGCCTGTCCTCACTCATGTGAGGCCCGGGTGAAAGGTACAGCTCTGTCTTCGGCGGCCGCTTTGTTGGAAAAAGGGAGGACTCCCTGCGGTGCCCTTGTCAAGCGGTGGTCAAACCATAATCTCTTTTCACTGGGGCCAAACTGGAGCCCAGATGGGTTAATTTCCAGGGTCAGACATTACAGTCTACAGTCTCTCCTCCCCTGCCCCCTCCCGCCTGGTCCTCCCCCCGCCCCCCTCCTTTCAAGTCTTGTAAAGTAAGCATTTGGAGGTCTTGGGAGGCCTGCCTCCTAGAATCCTAATGTGAGGATGCAAAAGAAATGAAGATAGCGTTTCCAGATGATGCAAAGGAGAAGAGTAGTACGTATTTCTGCTACTTTTTTTATTTTCTGGGGAAGGCAGAAGAAAGAAAGAAGGGTGTTTTATTCTGTTTAATACCCTGAAAAGAAGTGATGACTTGTTGCTTTTCAAAACAGGAATGCATTTTCCCCCTTGTCTTTGTTGTAAGAGACAAAAGAGGAAACAAAAGTGTCTCTCTGTGGAAAGGCATAACTGTGAAGACAGCAAATTTTATAGGCAAAATAGCACAAATCTGAGGTTTCTCTCTGGATGTTAATTTGGTTGAGATAAACATTCCTTTTTAAGGAAACGTGAAAGGCAGTGTGCTTCCATACACCCATTGGGTCAGAGATTCTGACTTGGCTAAAGGAAATGCAAGGGGTTTTATTGTTTGTGTTATATCAGTTTAATTCAGAACACATGATCCAATGAAATGGACTCTGTTAAAATTTTAAGGGATATTTCTCCCTTTATTTTTTTCTTCCTATAAACCTGCATTTAGGTGTTTTTTTTCCTCCAGTTTGAATCCTCCCAGATAAAAGAAAGAGCATAATGTCTTCAGCCTCTATAATACAGGAAAGTTAAATTTAAAAAGTAAAAAAAACAAAAAACCATTTTGTCCTGTTTTCGTAGTCCCATAAATCCATTTATAAAACATCATGTGTATGCTGACCCTGTCTTTGTGTGGCTGGGTGGGGAGGTGACCTACATAAATGATAGTGAATGAAGAGGACAGTTCAAATCATGGGCCCCTTTTTTAAGGAAAAGTCATTAAAAGAAGGTAAACTTCAAAGTGATTGTGGAGTTCTTTGAAATGTGCTGGATGGCTTAAATTTATTAATCTTAAATCATGTACTTTGTTGTTGTTTTTTTCTATAATAGAACTCTGATTCTTTTGCATAATGGTCTAAAGCTGAGCAGAGAATCACAGGAGCTAACCTTTGCTCCACCTTTGACACTACCCTCCAATCTTGCAACACTGTCCTATTTCTCAAAACAGTTTTAAAGATGCTGTTTTAAGCAGTTTTTAAATCATAGAGGGTACTGTCAGGAATAAAAGTTACTTTATATAATCTAATGTTCAGTTGAGTGGAGCTGCTTTTTATATTGAAGTTATTGACCTTGTGTTTCTTAAACCTCCAAAACTGTCATTTGTCAGATTTTTAAAACTCTCACCCCGCATTTTTTCGGCATCTTTTGTGTTGTATCTCTTGCATGTGAAATTTGTAAAATAGAGACAAGTGCAGTATGTATATTTTGTAAATCTCCCATTTTTGTAAGAAAATATATATTGTATTTATACATTTTTACTTTGGATTTTTGTTTTGTTTTGCTTTTTAAAGTCTACAAGGAAGCCCCACTTTATCATATGTACAGATCACAAATAAATTTTTTTTTAAATATCAAGTGAATGTTTATTTAGTTTATAGCACCTATATATCATTAAGCCAAAGAACTAAACTTTGTGTTATAGAAACAAGGTGTGGAGGGACACTATTGGATGGGTCTTTCAAAGAGGAAGAGATGATATATTATCAAAGTCCCTTTTCCTTGCCTTTTAAAATACAACATAATGAATGCCTTAACTGCCCCCTACTTTTTTTTTCTGTTGTTGCTGCTTCCTGCCTCTCTCCACACCACCCACCACATACTCCCTTAAGCCTTTTCACATCCTGCTTTGGATAACTTATTGAAGGTACAGAATGAGCATCTCTTTTAAAGAGGTGCTGTCTGATCTATGTTTTGACTACTCTTTCAGAGGTGAAGTATGTATTGGAAAGAGGACTAGAAGATATTTTGGGGCTGCTTTTCTTGGTAAGAATTCAGTGAGGTTTTTGTTGTTGTTTTTAACTGATTGGTGTTTTTGTATCCTGATGAACCTTATCTAAATTGTTAATACTTAAGTCCCTTGGGTTCAGGTGGCTGGAAAAGTCCTTGGACTATTCCAGATATTAGCCGGGGCTTTGCATATGGAGCATCCCTCAGCTTTAAGCTTTATTCTACCTACTAGGTCAACTGAACCCAGAGGTCAAGTGGTTCCCCGAGGTTACAGTGAAGGTGGCAGTGACTCAGCAGCTCCGGCAGGAATAGACTCCATGCCTAACCCCAGGATGGCCTTAGAAGCCACTGAAGCTATTCTTTCCTCTTGTCAGAGAAGCTAACTTTGGAATCAAATTAGACTGAGAAGCCTTCGCTATCCAGGCACTTTGATATTAAACAGTCCCTCAGGGAAATGATAAAGGCATTCTAAATACTTCCCATTCCAAGGCTCACTAGCTTTTTTTTTTTTTTCACCTTTCTCTCTTTAATTCAGGTGCCCGTTTTCCTGGCTTTTCATAATACAGTTGCCTCATTCTAGGGCAGACCTTGAAACCTAGCAGTAGCCTGGATGCTGCTGTTTTCCTTCCCTTCTTCGACTCTAAGTTTCTGTACTTTTAAAGCTCAACAGAAACAGTTCTGTTTTTGTTTTAATTAACAGGCTCACACACATGGCTGGTGTGTTTTACAAATATACAGAATGAAAACCAGTGACAGACGGTCCTCACCAGGAGGAGGAAGTCACGCAGCTACACTCCGCAAAGAGCAGCTTTAAGATCCTCCCGGGTTTTGAACATCACAATGGGTGTGAGGTCATCTTAACCTGTGAAGATTTGGGCATTGAGGAAGGGAAAAAAATAGCGACTTCAAGTCTCTTAAGGTTTATCCAGTTTTGACTCATAAAATGACACCTTTTAGGTTAAAGCATGCCTTTTTAAACACCACACTAATATTGCCTGTTAAGAATGTTTGCTTTTAGAGTAGGTGGAAGGCTCCCAACAGAGTTTTTTTGCTCACAAATTAACTGCTAAAGGCACTTAGACCCTTCTGTGGGGAGAGCTGTGTGACTAGTATAAATGTGTCCCTTTCCTCTCTTCAGCACTGCCTGGTCCTTCAGGGCACTCAAAGATTGAAGAGCATTGGTCTTTAGTGAGGGAACAAAGACTGTGTATGAATAAATTACTAACTACATTTTTGTAAGCAAAATGTAGTGCTCAGTCTAGTTCCTTTCACATTGTGGTGTGTTCTTATGTCGTTGATTCCTTTTTTTTTTGGTAAGTAATTTTTATTTTTTAAAGAATTTTCTTTTTGTTGTTTTAAATATGTTTTTATTGATTTTTTTAGAGAGAGAGGAAGGTATTGAGAGATAGAAACATCGATGAGAGAGAAACATCTATCAGCTGCTGCCTGCACGCCCCCCCCTCTGGGGATTGAGCTTGAAACCCAGGCATGTGCCCTGACCAAGAATCCAACTGGGACCTTTCAGTCCATGGGACGTCGCTCAATCCACTGAGCCACACCGGCTGGGCAGTAATTTTTATTTTTAAAACAACTTTACTATTTGATTATATTCATGTAGAAAAAAAAGTGAAGACAGAAAAATATAAAGAAAATTAAAATGATCCTGTATACCCCAAAATACATGAACATTATATTTCTTTCCAGTCTTTTTTGTACATTTACAAACACTCCAGCCATGTGTGTAAACCTGTTAATTAGAATTTTAAAACAAAAGTAGTACTGTAAAATGCTCACATATACTTTTTTTTTTAATTTTGTATTATAGAGCAACCAATTCTTTAGGACATTACATATTATTTCAAAAACATGATCTTCAGTTGGCTGCTTCACACTCCAATTAGAGCTAAACCATAATTTATGTCCAATTTTTGGATATTTATATATCATTCTTTGTATGTGTTTCTAATTTTTTAAAGATAAATTTGAAAAGATAAAAGTAACCAGCATAAAGGGTGTATTTTTAAGACTTTTGATATGTTTTACCAAACTGCTCTCTAGAAAGATTGTACCAATTTATAGTAACACCAATAAATAAAATAGTCTGAGTTTCATTTCGTCTTCATATTCCTTGACAACATAGGAAACTGAATGTCACTTCCCACCCTTTATTGTTATTAACTTGATGGGGTAAGGGTGAATGGTGTCTTGTCTTGTTTCTAAAGTGTAGAAATTTTTCCACATGTGTACTGGTCATTTGCTTTCCCACTGTTTTTTGAAGCAGTCCATGTCTTTCAGAAGGTATCTTTCATATTGGCATGGTATTGTCTCATCACATGTTCTTCCTTAGTGGGCAAGGGCATGAAAGCTTTTCCACATTTCAGATTAAGCAGGAATTTCCCAAATGACTAGAATTAGAAAATCTTCTTGTCTTCTGGGTAGCCATGCTATTTTAATGTCTTAGTAATAAAACTGGGCCATATTCTTCAGGTTAAGGAAGGTCTCTGACCATTCCATGGACCCTATCTGAGGTATGGTAGTTGAGTCAACTTTTGGCTTCATTGGCATTTTCTTTCATGGTCTTTAAAACCCAGTCCACTGAAACCACTTCTTCTGCTCCTTCCATCAGTATTAATCTGTTACCATGGCAATACTTGCACAGCAAAGTCCAGCCTCCTTAGCAAGAACTACCACTGGAACTGTGGTCATGTTGATGAAACCACCCACCAACCCCCCACCCCACCAATGAAACATGAAGCTTTCTGCCCATGAACTAAAACTAGGTCCTTCAATTGTAATCATTGTCCCTTTTGAGTGGCACCTCAGTCACTTCTTAGCAGTCTCTATGAAGACCTCTCTCTTTTGGGAGCAGAACAGCTCAGCCACTGAAATATGGCACACTCCTCTGGCACAGGAATGACTCCCATCATAGAAGGTCTGAGACTTCATAGTGGTCCTGTCAATGAATTGGTCAATAATGACGATATTGCCAGGCTGACTATTTTCCCCCAAGGAACTGCAAAGTGTGGTCACCATGACATGAGTACAACCCTCTCCCTTGCCAGCCCAGATGTTCACCTGATAATTGACTTCTGATGGCATGATAG